AGAGTGAGACTCTGTCTCAAAAAAAAAAAAAAAATGAGTGGGTTAAGAATTCCCTCAGGCTACAGAGGGAATTGTTTTAGGGTGACAATGTTACGGGTGATTTTTCTATTTCCCCTACTCTCATATGTTGTCGTGCTGCTCGTCTGTCATTATACATCCCATAGAGCAAAGTCAGAGCGCATTTCTGAGAAGGCAAGTGGTGTCTCAGTGATGACCCTGGACAGGCTGTGTCACCTCTGTGGCCTCAGCTTTGTCATCTGAAAGGGGGAGGGAGCTCTGTGTTGTCTCTCAGACCCCCTGCCTTATGGATCTTAGGGCGTGAAGACAATGGTGAGACCCTTTAGGTGCAGCAGCTTGAGAAAGCAACACAGCAAAGCCTTCTCCCTGCTGACTTGGAAACGGCAGAGGGTGGCCACGAACTTCCGTCATAGCCCCAACTGCAGCATGCCACCGGTGTTCGACGTTTGACTTCTTTCGGTTTGCAGAAACTCCATCATCCTGGGTACAAGTGTGTGAAGTGCAGGATTCCTGACTGCCTGGGGCATCGATAGCACAGGAACGAGCAGGAGCTCCAGCAGTTACTAAGAAACCTTTGCAGGAGTATTACAAAAAAGGGTGATTATAAACCCTCTCCAGCTCAGAGCTTGTGAAAAGCCACAGCGAGGCTGCCTTTGGCTGGTGAGCCCCTGCCTGGGAGGAGCAGGGGGCTCTGGGCCCGGCACAGCCAAGGCGCCCTGCAGGGTGTCACTGGGGCGTGGGTGTGAAGAGAGCACCCAGCCCAGCAGCGCCCGGCAGGGGCCGCCAGCACCTTGGCCGTCTCCTAGGGGACGCTTCCAAGTGGCACCAATGAGAACTCTTATAGGGCAGGAGGGAGGCGGGGGCTGCAGAGGCACGGCCCACCTGTCCACGGCCCGAATGCTATTTTGGAATTTTCATACTGAGCTTATTCAGACCCTGTACAGCAGGGAGGAGAGTGTGTGTCAAAGCGGACCCCCTCTGGGTGCACCTCTGAGTAAAGAAGCGGAGGGACCCGAGGAGAGGCCTGCAGCAGGGAGCCACGGGGCTGGGAGGCAGGCCGATGTTTCCAAGCATGTTTAAAAATGACTCTCAGCAGGGATACCCTCACCTCGTTTTTTAAAAATTAATTAATTTAGAGACCTGCTGGGGGTTGGGGGTGGTGTCTACCTATGTTGCCCAGGCTGGCCTCAAACTCCTGGGCTCAAGCTCTCCTCCTGCCTCAGCCTCCCCGACTACAGGCCTGAGCCATCACACCCGGTCCCACTCCGGTTTTTTGTTTTGTTTTGCTTTTTGTACACAAAGCAAGCACTGAATAAACTGTCAGTGCTCTCTGCCTCCCACTGGGCCCAGATCTTTAGACATCTTGACAGGGTAGAGAATTACAAGGGCAATTTTGCGGGGCTTAGGCAATGCCAGGTAGACCCAGGCGGTGCCACTTGCGGGCTGAAATCATCACTCAGCAAACTCAGCAGAGAGGAAGGCACATTTGCAGGCGAGTGCTGACGGCACTTAAAAGCGAGCCCTCTGGGACCTTCTGCCAGCTCCCAAAGGGGCGGTAGAACACAGTGGAAACTGCGGCTGCTACAGGACACCTGCGCTGGCCGGGCCCTCCTAGCGGAGGCGGCTCTGTGGCCCAGCAAGTGGGGCCAGTCACCCCACCCTCCGGTTTACACAGAGCGGGAATGCCTGAAAGATGCTCACTGCTTCTTAAGGAGTGACCTGCCTGCTTTTAATAGTTTTTACAATCACCTTTACTAACAACGAGCATTCTAGAGAAAGCCATCCTCCCACGGCGAACCCAGGCTCTCCTCTCTCGTTCCTCCTACAGCCACTGCCGCCGCCGCTGTGTGTGACTTCACACCTAACGGTGAGGGCAAGTCCAGCTTCTCCCGCAACCAGCCTGGGGACACGATCCCCAGACTCTCTTGGCCACCAGCCCTCGTGCTCAGCGCTAAGCTTCCTGGGCATCAGAGTTCCAGCTTCCACACCACGTATTTTTAAATCTCCTAACAATACCTTATATGGCATGGTGCTCGACATAAGCACATGATAAATGATTGGTACATGGATTTAATTGGTAGAGTTTTAGAGCTGAAGAAGAATAATTCTAATGGTAAATTACTGTGTGTGCCAGGCACTGTCCTAACCACGCGGATGCTTCATCTCATTTAATTCTCACGACAACCTGGGAGGTACATGCTATTATTATGTTCTTATTCTTTTTTTTTTTTTGAGACAGAGTCTCACTCTGTTGCCCGGGCTAGAGTGCCGTGGCGTCAGCCTAGCTCACAGCAACCTCAAACTCCTGGGCTCAAGGGATCCTTCTGCCTCAGCCTCCCGAGTAGCTGGGACTACAGGCATGCGCCACCGTGCCCAGCTCATTTTTTCTATATATATATTTTTAGTTGTCCAGGTCATTTCTTTCCATTTTTAGTAGAGACGGGCTCTCGCTCTTGCTCAGGCTGGTCTCGAACTCCTGACCTTGAGCGATCCACCCGCCTTGGCCTCCCAGAGTGCTAGGATTACAGGCGTGAGCCACCGCGCCCGGCCTATTATGTTCTTATTCTAAAGATGAGGAAACAAACTTACAGAAGTTAAATAACTTGTCCTTCATCACTAGACGGTGAGTGGCAGAGCCAGGACTCACGTCCGGGTGGTTCTGACTCCAGAAATTGGATCCGGGCACTAGCAAGCTCCTTGCAGTGCACACTCTTTGTATAATTTCTTCCCTGTGCCACACACCGCCGTCACACTACCGACGTGGGTCCTGAGGCCAGGGAAGCAACTTGCTCGGGTCTCGCGGTCAGTGGCAGAGCTGTCGGATCTGGTCCCGGCTCCCGGTCCCGTTACCGCCCCCACTGCCGCTTGCGGAGCCCCGCTGGCCTGGGCCCAGATCCCTGGCTTGTCTCCAGCAGAAGCCGGGGTAGCAGTTCTGGATCAGACAGTGGCCTCGGGACTTTGGTCCAGTTGCCCAGGTGGGGGCCCCAACCAGGCAGCCAGATTTGTTCCCGCCGGGCAGGGGGGCTGCGTGGAGTGGGGGGTGGGCAGCTTGTTTTTGCTGTCCCCACCCCTGCAGCCCAGCAACGGTTCCCGCTCGCCAGCGCCTTTGTGGAGGTCAGGGTCAGGGCGAGGCCTGGGCCAGCTTCCTCAGGAGTGTGTGGCCAGCTCCTGCCCGCACCCCCCGGGCCCTGCTGATGTGGTCAGCGCCATTCTCTGCCGCAAAGCCAAGGACAGCAGCCCGGACACACCTCGAGCCAGTCAGCGCATCGCCGGTGCAGCGAAGCCCCAGGCAGAACCGGGAGCAGCGTTAGAAACACTGTCTGGCTTAAGCGAGAGTTTCTCTTTTCTTCTTTCCAATGTGTGGAGGAGGCAGGAGGGGAGAGGAGACCAAGAAGGCCACGAAACCAAGATCGAAGCTGGACTCAGAAGCAGCCAGGGGAGAAGGCTGTGGGCGGGAAGGTGACGCCAGCAGCTGTGGGAAGGGGCCTCGGAGCCATTGTGTCAGGCTGGCCTGGCCTGCCTGTGGGGAGCCGGGAGCCAGCAGGGCTCCAAGTTAGCTTGGCAGGCTCTGCAGGGACACCGGGTGGGCAGGGGTGGCTCTGCGGGGAGCCCTCAAGAGGGAACAAGGGCTGCATTTGAAAGCGACAAGCCAGGGTGTCGGAGAGGTGGGAGTTGTGTGCAGTCAAGAGAGAACAAAATCCCTGGGACTGCCTGAGACGGGGGCACTCGGGGCTGCTGCAACGCACAGCCCGGGGGCACCGGTCACCCCGAGTTCCCTAGCATGCTTGAGCCCAGGGTTGTTGAGAAACTAGAGCAGGTCAAAAGGACTTGGAAAGGCTTCTCGCACCGGGGAGCTGGGTGGGGAAGGCAGAAGCGCATTGGCGTTTCACTCTGCGTTCGTTCCTCTGCGCCCTGCACCGCTGTGGCTTCTCCCTCTGTCCTGCAGATACGACTCAGCCATTAAAGACCTTAAAGAGGCCTTGGCTCAGCTCCGCGGGAACCAGCTCATAGACTACAAGATCCTGGGGCTGCAGTTCAAGCTGTTCGCCTGCGAGGTGAGGAGGGCAGGGCCCAGCCCGGGCAGGAGGGTCTCGTGGCTGGACGGATCGGACGCACAGTGATCTGGTGACACCTTCAGGAGCTCCAGAAGGTCACTTTGCCTCCTGTGCCTTGGGACTCAGGCATTCCCTTACGGAAAGACTCAGATGGATGACTCGAGGCTCTTCATGGAGTCATCATAGGTTACCTGAGGGTGTGTGCATTTTCATAATGTGAGGCTCAAAGCTCCATGCAAACCTGAGCCCCCTGGGCTCTCTGAAGGGAGGCTGGACATGAGTGTGTGGGCCTGTGACAGGTTCGTAATAACTTACACGTTTTGTTTAGCGATCCAGGTGGACAAGCTATTCGCTCGGCATTACACTAACAAATCCCAAATCATGACTTCACTCTCCACGCGGGACCTGCCGTAACCTTGCTCAGTTCCCAAGTCACAGACCACACGCCACTAGTCATGATCCTTACCCCATGTAAGAATGAGGATAATTTGGCACAAACATGTCCCCTCTTGTTCAAAGAACAGCTCAAAGCACAAGTTGAGGTAAAGGTTTCCATAGAACAATTTTTTTCCTGTATTATCAAAAGGGAGAGACATGACTGGCTTTGACTTCGAAGGTTCATGTACTTTTAACAACCAACCCTTCCCACCCCTTCCCACTCCCAGATATATACCAATAGCCTCGAAAAGTAAAATTCCTGCAAATGTCACAGATCTTTCTTTAGAAGAATCACTGAAAAGAAGTCCACTTGCTTTAGTTTCTCAGGCACAAGAAGCCAAGTATTCCCAGGGTGGCTCAGGGCTAATAATAGAGTCCACAGCTGCCTGGGGCCCCTGGGGAAATGTGGCCCCGTCCCAGCCCTGCAGCAGACTAGCAGGTCCCTCCCGTCTCACAGTCTGGGCAGATGAGGCTTTGCAGTGGGGACTGGCCGGCGTTCGACCAGCTTCTAAAGTGGAGTTTTTCAACCGTGGCACTATTGATATGTTGGACCAGACAATCCTTTATCGTGGGGGGACGGGGGAGGTGTCCTATGCATTGTGGGATTTTTAGCAGCGCCCCTAACCCCTACCCACTAGATATTAATAGCACTGTCACTGCCCCCACCCAGTGTGACAACCTAAAATATCTCTAGACATTGCCAGTAACCCCATTGAGAACCACTTACACAGGTTAAAGTGTTGGGGGACCAAGTGGCTCCAGAGCAAGGATCATGCCACAGCCGCATGGAAGTGGAATTCCATGAGAGGAACGTCCCCCTGTAGTTGGGGTTGACATGACCCGGTGGTCAGAGTGGGCTTCTGCAACCGAGGCTGGACTTTTCAGGATCTGAGACCCTCTTTGCCACACAAGACCCTCCAGTCGTCCCTACTTATGATCTCTCTCTTCCCACCGCAATGCAAGCCTGGCTTCTGAGAAATCATACCACTTTTTTTTAAGAGTGTCAAAGTTTTTCTAGTCATTGAGCCCTAAAAACCAGCTGTGAGGAAAGGGATTAAAAGGAGGTGACTGAGAACCAGATAGGAAGGTCAGGGTGGGCTGGGGCAGCCAATGGACGCAGGAGGCCGCAGCTCACTGGGGCTCAGAAGTAGGCCTGGAAGGGGCCAGGTCTCCACTTCTGGGCTTAGGCTGGGTCCCCGTCACCCAGCACCAGCCACTAACTCCATGGAAACACCAGTCCTGCCGCCATCCGCGTCTGGCACATTAACATTGCTTGTTGGCAGGAGGCCTCCGTTCTTGGGCGCAGGAGCTCCTCCCTGGGCTGCTGAGTCTTGTCATGACGTAGCGGCTGGCTTCTCCCAGAGCAAGTGATCCCACAGAAAGTGAGAGAGAGTGTCAACATGTTTTATAACCTAGCCTCGGATGTCACACACCCCCTTTTCCACAGTATCCTATCTTTTCTGTTTCTTTCAGTCAAGTAGTTTTTTTATTCTCTGTGTAAGTTGTGAAGCATAATGATAAAATAAGCACTTATGAACCTACAACCCAAGACCTAGAAAACTGTGACTACGGTTCACTTTGCCATTCCCTCCCCACCCCAGGTGAAACACTCCCGTGGCTTCTGTGCTAAGCTCCGTGGGCCTTCTGCCCGTGGAGTTTCTTGACGTGCGCCATATTACACACAGTCTTGTTATTCATGCCGTCTGCGCCAGGTTCTACTGGTGACGGTGCAGGACAATGCATCTGGAACCCTCTCTCCACCCCACACCTGTCCAGCGTTTCAGCCTAGGCTTGGTGGTGGGAGCTGGAGTGGGAAGCCACACACATGTATTTTATTCCCAACTCTGTCTCTGCCTCTTCAAGGGGCTTTGAGCAAGTCACGCTTCTCCACACCAGAACAGCACAATAGCTCTTGTCCCCTCCTGACCTTATCTGGTTGTTGGAGAATGAGCATAACGTTGGAAAACATCACATGACGTTTTCTTAACACCATGCTTGTGCTTGATGTAACTCGATAGCAAGACGAACTGTGCTATATTTTAGATTTTCCCAGGAGAGCTGAGAGGGAGAAACGTTACCAGGCAACATTCCCAGAGTATACATGTCAGCCCTTCCCTGGCACGTTGATTTGGGGTAGGCTCAAGTTTTATCCGCGGTCTGTCCTTTTCTAGGTGTTATATAATATCGCTTTCATGTACGCCAAGAAGGAGGAATGGAAAAAGGCTGAAGAACAGTTAGCATTGGCTTCGAGCATGAAGTCTGAGCCCAGACATTCCAAAATCGACAAGGCCATGGAGTGTGTCTGGGTAAGTATCTCATTGGTGATGCAGGTCGTGAGAGCATTTCACTGGATTCGCGTTTGTCTCAGAGGACATGCAATCGAGAAACCGTAACAGTGGTGCTTTTTCTTTCTGTGAGCTCTGGGTAACGTTGATCTGTGGGTACAGGTCCATGTAAGATCTTGTGCATGTGTGAGGAGCTCAGGCCTAGAGTATGGGGCGGCAGAGCCCCTGTATCACACCGCCCTCGAACTGGGGCTCCCAGCAGCGCAGGGGGCCAGGGTGCTGGAGGCTGGAGGGGCGCAGTGCAGCCTCTATGCACCAAGAAGGCAGAGACCGTGTCTGCTTGGTCACCAGTGAGTTCTCGTAGCTGGGTGCAGTGCTGGGCACATAACAGCTTTCAACAAAAATGCATTGATTCTATGAACGAATGGTGAAAATTATACATAGATTGAACATATTTGGGAATGAAATTGGTTTTAAATTCGATTTTTAAAAGACCAGGAAGAAGAGGGCTTCAGTCAGTCTTTGAATGCTTATCCACGTCAGCAAACACCAGTCCCAAAAGAGCACTGTCATGAGCCTTGTGTGGGTCCCGGCCGCCCTCGTGGTGGTGGGGTGCTCCCTGTGCTGTGGGAGAACCCCACTGACACACACACAGTGGGGGCGGTCCCCTAGGAATGCAGGGTGCTGGGCAGACAGCACCGGCCAAGGTCCACACAGCCTCTCCGCATAAGGTGATATCGAGACCCACTGCTCCTGCCCTAACACCCGAGAGTAATGTCAAGAACAAGATCAGTCCTTTCAACTCTGGAAAAAGTGCTTTTACGTGGTTATCTCAGTGGATCCGCGCGTCTATTCGGTGAGGGAGGCGGGACAAGCATTGCCACCCCTGTTTTCAGAGAGGGAAATACTACACTTTCTGCGTTGCAGAAGCAGAAGCTGTACGAGCCGGTGGTGATCCCTGTGGGCAGGCTGTTTCGACCAAATGAGAGACAAGTGGCTCAGCTGGCCAAGAAGGATTACCTCGGCAAGGCTACGGTAGGCGGGGTCACTCCACTTCCCCGAGTGGCCTGTGGCCTGGGCCACGTGGAGCAAGGGTGGGGGACTCCGGACAAGGGGGCATCTTCCTTGTGGCGCTGGCCCTGGGATGGCAACGAGAGACTTGCCGACAGTGCAGAGGTCTGGCTGAAGGATGGGCAAACGCTTCCAGTTTACTTCTCCAGCCTCCTCTCATCCCTCCCTTCCAGCCCGAGCTGGGTGAGAGCCAGAGGGTTACTCACAGGATGCAGAGTCTTGGGGAATGAGCCAGTGGAAAGAAATCACAGCTAGGAGGAGCTCACTAAATGCGGAGAGAACATGTTAGGGACAGGGACCAGCATGGGACCCTCTCAGCCCAGTGCTGTCTGACACTCATGTCTCAGTGTGCAGAGAACTTCCCCCGACGTCCACGGCCCTGTGTTCAGACTCCTTCTTAAACTAGACTCTTTCTGAATCCAGGTCTTAAATCCTTTCAGCCATGATCCAAAGGACATCAGCAGTCCCCTTCCAAAACCATATGTGACTTTGACACTATTCGTAGGGCTTACGTTGCATAATGGCTGGGGAGCTGGGTCTGGCACAGGAGCAGAGGTCAAGAGAGCCTGGGTTAATGGAAACACCCCAAATATCCATCAGTGGAGGAATGGATAAACAAAACATGATATATCCCTACAATGGAATATCACTCAGCTATAAAAAAGGAACGAAGGGCCGGGCGCGGTGGCTCACGCCTGTAATCCTAGCACGCTGGGAGGCCGAGGAGGGCGGATTGTTTGAGCTCAGGAGTTCGAGACCAGCCTGAGCAAGAGCGAGATCCCGTCTCTACTAAAAAAAATAGAAAGAAATTATCTGGACAACTAAAAATATATAGAAAAAATTAGCCGGGCATGGTGGCGCATGCCTGTAATCCCAGCTACTCAGGAGGCTGAGGCAGGAGGATCGCTTGAGCCCAGGAGTTTGAGGCTGCTGTGAGCTAGGCTGATGCCATGGCGCTCACTCTAGCCAGGGCAACAAAGTGAGACAGAGTCTCAAGAAAAAAGGAACGAAGTACTGATACATGCTACGACACGGATGAACCTTGGGAACATTATGCTGTGTCAAAGAAGCCAGACACGAAAGGCCACATGTTATATGGTTCCATTTACATGACACGTAGGTAACTCCACAGAGATAGAAAGCAGATTGGTGGTTGCCAGGTTAGGGGAGGAGAAGTGTGGACTAACTGCTTAATGGGTAAGGATTTTCTTTTGGGGTGACAAAAATGTTTTGGAGCTAGACAGAGGTGGAGGTTGCACAGCATGTGAATGTACTAAATGCCACTGAATCGTTCAATTTAAAGTAGTTAATTTGATGTTATACAAACTGTACCTCAATAAAAGAATGTTTTTTAAGAGAGAGAAAGAGCAAGCCTGGGCTAGCAGGGGTGGGACGTCTGCTAGTTTCTCTGCTTGCTGGAGCTTCTAATCCAGAGCCACTGTCCACCTCGGAAATCAGGCACGAGTGAGAACGGGTCTAGGGTGTGACAGAGGAGGGAATCTTGGTTGGGGACACAGCGCTGCAGAGCCTCACACCCTCCTGTCCTCGATTCCAGGTGGTGGCGTCCGTGGTGGACCAAGACAGTTTCTCTGGGTTTGCCCCTCTGCAGCCACAGGTGAGGCAGTGCCGGCCTTCTTTGTGGGTCTAGGTCTCCAGAGCTTTCCGTGAAGCATCTCACTGGGGAACATGTTTGTGCTGAGTCGCCTCATTGTCAGGGCTCCTCCAAACGGCACCCCCGTGCAGCAGCCAAGGGGGTCTGCCCCCACCTTCTCAGTCCCGGGCTCCGTGGCTGCTCAGCAACCAGGGCCGTGTCGAGCCCTCTGAAGCCAAAATGCCACTCTTCACGTCTCTAAGTGCTAAGAGATCCGCCAACCATCTCTCCTGAAGCCTCGATCCTTCTCTCGGAAGACAGAAGCACAAGCTCTGGAAGGATTTTTAACGAAGCTTCCTCCCCGCTACAGGGCTGGTGGGCGAAGCCCGTGTGGGGCCTGGGGCCTGAGGTCTTGGGCTCTCCGCTCCATTCATCTACCCGCGTGCCGCGGTTTCCCTCAGGAACGCAGGCAGCGTGCCCAGACTGAGCCATTTTCAGCCCACGCTGGGCTCGGAGAAGTGGGCTCGGAGGAACTGGGCGACAGTGGGTCTAGAAATGCAGACAGAGCCTCCCTGCGAGGGGAAGAGGGCAAGGCAGGTTGAGAGAGAGAGATGCGAGCTCTGTTGCCATGGGAACCGTGCCGGGGACCAGGGTCGGGCAGCACCAGCGGAGGACGATGTCCTGGGCACGGACTCCCGCACTCCGGTCTGCACGCACCCTGGTCTCCCCAGGACAGCACGGACAGCCTACCCAGGGCGGGATGATTCCTGCCGGCCCAGAATGTGCCCCGCACTGGGGCTGTGGGGGGCGGGATGAGCAAAGAGGAAGGAAGGGCAGCCAGCATCTAGATTCCTCGATCTTTTTCTTCACAATAACGTTGAAGAAAGTCTTGCTGAGGTCCCCTGGGCTTCGGCTCAGCCAGAGGACCGCAAGAGGGGAAAGAAGCCCAGGGCACTGGCCTGCAAGGTGCTCCGTGCAGCACAGGGACTGCGCGCTGAGAGGAGAGTCCCGCCGGCCAGTGGGTCCCGCGTTGATGGTGACCGCTCAGAAGCGTCACGTGACATAGCAGACATTAATTATAGAACAGCTTTTGGAAACAGTCCTGAGAAAGAGACAGAGCTCAAGGTCAAAGGCACTCTCGCGACGCCCTGTTGCTCTGTGACAGCTAGCCCTCTCCAGAAGCCAGCTCTGGCACCGGAGGAACCGCGGTGCTGGTGAAACCCGTACCCAGGCGGCTGGTCGGGGGTGTCATTTTCCGGTGTGTGGTCAGGGCGCACTGTGCCCTCTCCCTAGACAGTGCTCCCATCGGTCAGAAATGCATGCTTCGATTTTCTGGTCTGAAGGAGTGCTCGCATTACCATTAAAGGTCTGTTCTCTCTCCCTCCCTTTCCCTCCTCGTCCCTCTTCATCTTTCCTTGATGTTCAACCAGGCGGCTGAGCCTCCACCCAGACCCAAAACCCCAGAGATCTTCAGGTAAGTTAGATTCAGATCCATCCGTACGCGGAATATCCAAGCTCTGCGCGCGAATCGATAGCGACACAGGGGTGAAGAAGGTGAAACCGGGGGCAGGGTCTAAATCTCACTGAATTTTCTAGAACGTTAGGCTTCTTCTGTTTTCAGGGTTAGACAGGAATGATGAAGTGCAGGTGGGCCTTGGCTGCGGTGGGGCTGACCGCAGGGCCCTGGCTGCAGCTACATGGTGTCCCAGTGTCCCCATGTCAACATGCACAGCCAGCACAGAGCGAGGGGGTGTTGCCGGGGACAGCAGTGTCCCGTGGAACACAGCCGCCCGGGGGGCCAGGCTGCTGACCTAAGGCCAGAGGTCGGTTTTGCACTGCGGGGAGGAAGCTCAGGCATCAGGAGGCCAGAATGGCGTCCCCTGGCCCCGGGTGGGTGTCTCCCATTCCCTACCGACACATGTTTTCTGAAAAAATAGGAGGAAGGACTCAAGAAAAGGAAGTTACGCTTCTGTAAAATGAGAAGCAAAGAGTGACATAACCTAGAACTTTCTTAAGAATTCCCTCTCGGTCATGAAGCAAGCCCAGCTCCCCCACCCAGAGAGGTTAAGAAAAAATGAAGAAAGTACCAAAGCGACCACAGAACGACGACGAGGGGGCGGGACGAGCTCATTCCCACACTGGGCTGGAAGAGTCTGTGTTCCCTGCAGGAGCAGACAGGCTGTTTGGAAACGAAAGCGAGGGCTGAGGGGAAAGTAGCAGAGTGGGGAGCAAACGGAGGGAGCCCGAAATCCTCATTCCTCCCGAGGCCTTAAAGCGTTCTCAGTCGCACGTTCCAAAGTGGCATCCATCAGACACCCTGGAGCCCAGAGGCGTGAAGCCAGCAGCGAGGCAGCCTCAGAGCCCCCGTGCACGGCCCCATGGCTCCGCAGCTGCCCCCCTGCCCTGCAGCCCCCTCCCCACCCTGACCCGAGGCTTGCACCTGACTTCCACCCTGTGCCATCCCCTGGCCACTGTCCCCTGAGCCACCGCAGCTCAGACGTGGGAGCCGGCCAAGATGACCCAGCCAGGAACCCACCTCCTCAGAAGGGAGGGGAGGGCAAGGATCGGAAGGCCTCATTGTCTAATGTCGTTCTGGTTTTTTCTTTATTCTTGTCCCACTGCATATATGGTCATGGTTGTGGTTCACGTGCAGCTCCTTACCCAGACCTCTCAGGAGCCCAGGCAGGCGCCCTGCTCAGGGTCACACAGGCTGCTGGCGGTGGAGTGACAGGCAGCATGGAGCCAAGTCCACCGTGCTTGTCCCATAACACCGTGTGAGGGGCTGCGGGCCAAGCGGAACGGTGGGCTGGATCTCGTGTCCACCCCCCTGCAGGGCTCTGGAAGGGGAGGCTCACCGTGTGCTGTTCGGGTTTGTGCCCGAGACAAAAGAGGAGCTCCAGGTCATGCCAGGGAACATCGTCTTTGTGTTGAAGAAGGGCAACGACAACTGGGCCACGGTCATGTTCAACGGGCAGGTATTCAGAGGCTCAGGGCCGGTGGGATGGGCGGGGATCCCGGCAGCAGACGGCAGAGCATTCTGCGGAACGGTATCAGCTCCTGCTGCCTTGTTTGCGGAGCAGCCAGGTGTTCTTGTCTGGGCGCCATCCCCCTCCCACGACTCTGGCCTGGTCTGTGGAGTGGGCACCGACGAGCGCGCCTCTGTTTCCCCCTCCTCACACTGCAGAAGGGGCTTGTTCCCTGCAACTACCTGGAACCCGTCGAGCTGCGGATCCATCCTCAGCAGCAGCCCCAGGTAACGCGGTGCCAAGGCCTGACCCACTCCCTCTCAGCATTTGCAGACCTCTCCCTGGAGGGGAGGGGAAGGGAGCGGCGTGGAAGAGGCGCCGCCACGACCCCACGCTCACTGGTCCTGAGCTCGCCGTGAGTGGCACCAGCTGCCTGAGCTGAACGTGGGGATGAGGGAAAAAGCCCAGATGTGCTAAGCGGCGGCATCTGTAGGTCCCATTGGGCCCACCCACCTCTGTGACTCCCGCTGGTCAGGGTGACTGGGGAACCAAAGCCTACAGTATAGGAGGGTTAGGTTCTTCCCAGATGTGTCCTCTCCACCTGGAAGAACAGTCGATGCGTTGGCTGGTGCAATGCCATTAAAAATAAAATATCTGCTTTTAGAGCATTGAGTCAAAGTGGGCCTTGCCAGCCATTGCTTCTAAAGCTGCTACTCCCCACCCCATCCCCCCAGCCCCTTCAAAGTCCTGCCCTCTGCCAGGCCTGGAGAGTTGTCTTCGTTGGATCTGAGCAGCCCTGTAAATGATCCGGCGGTGCCAGTGGACCCTGTCTCTCTCCAGACTGTGGGACCAGCTGTGCATCAGCTCGGCCCTCCCTGCTCAGAGTCACTAGATGCAGATACTTTGGAAAGCTGCACGTGCCATGCAGATGGGAAGTGGGGTTTTTCCTTTCTCAGTGCCCGTTGCAGCTGAGACGAGAGCTCCGTCCTACCCGACCTGCAGTGGATTTCCAGTGTGGCCGACAGGGTTGATACGGTGGCCGGGGCCTTTTAGGAAGGGGATTAGGATTAGGGTTAGGATCCTTATTTCTACTGTGATTTTTGTTTTCATTAAGCTGACCCTGCCTCCTCCTTCTAACCAACATTTTCCTTAGTCTTCCCCATGTCACCCCCCCCTGCCCCGCCAGCTTTCAGGAAGTTATTTGCATCTGGAACATTCCCTAGGGGTCTGCAGGGTCTCTCACTACCCTCACCCCTGCCTGAGAACTTTGACTGAATGAAGGTCCTGACCCTCTCTTCCTGTCACCTCCAGGAGGACAGCTCCCCAGAGCCTGACATCCCAGCTCCTCCTAGTTCCAAAGCCCCAGGAAGACCTCAGCTGTCACCAGGTTAGTGGCCCCGCAGCAACACCCTAGGCCTGGGCACAGGAGCACTCCAGGCTGCTTCCTGACTGAGAGTTGCTATCCCAGCCTTCCAGAAAATTCTGGTGTCTTCTTTTCCCAACATGCCACTCAGCTAATGACCACACAACCCCAGAACCCCTCTCCTGCTCCGTCACCCCAAACATGCAATCAGTGCCCTCTGTTCCTGCCTCTCCAGAACACTCGCAGGGCCCGGGTGAGCGCAGCTGGTCCTGAGGGGCAGCGACTGTCCTGACTCAGGTAGTCGCCAAACCCCTTGATCGTTGAGTACCGAAACCATGTCTCAAGGAAGAAAGATGGAAGTAATTGTACGTGTCTGCCTCAGAGGGGCATGGAATGGCTCTTTTCAAATGTCTGAGGAGCTGTAACTGGAGAAGACACTGCTCCGCAGAGCCCCGAGGGGTGACAAAGAACCAATGGGCAGATGTGAAAGGGAAGTTTTCTTTCCGTAAGAATCTCCGATAATGTGGAGAGAGCTGCCTTGGGAAGTAATGAGCTTTTTGTCACTAGTGCAGCTTAAGCAGATTCTGAATAAGCGCTTGGTAGAGATGTCCTAAATAGGCGGTTTGTCCAGATCCTAGATCAATGATTGCCACGCCCACCTGATCATCAGAATCACTTGGGATGCCCTTTCCCCATTTTTGTTTTTATTTTTTGAGACAGAGTCTCACTACTCTGTCGCCCTGGTAGAGTGAGGCGTTGTCATCATTGCTCACTGCAGCCTCCAACTCCTGGGCTCAAGCGATCCTCCTGCCTCAGCCTCCCAAGTAGCTGGGACTACCATGCCTGGCTAATTTTTCTATTTTTAGTAGAGACGCGGTCTCACTCTTGCTCAGGCTGGTCTCGAACTCCTGAGCTCAAGCAATCCTCCCACCTTGGCTTCCCAGAGTGCTAAGATTACAGGCATGAGCCACTGGGCCCAGCCCCATTATTATTTTGAAAAATGTCAAACCTACAGAAAAGTTGAGAGTAAAATAAACACCAGAAGACCTTTCACCTAAATTTATCAATTGTTAACATTTCGCACCATCTACTTGCCTTGCTCCATTCTCTCTCTAGTTTTTTCCCCTGCGTCACTTGAAAATAAGTTACAGACTCATGACATTTCACCCTGCATTTCAGCATGGATCTCCTAAGAATAAACACTTCCTGGATAACCACAATACAATCATCGTATCTAGGACATTTACCATTAATCGTACCGTCTCATGTATATTCCATATTCCAAGTTTTCCGATTGCTCCCCCCTCAAATGTCCTTGACAGCTTTTTCGTTTTTACCTTTTCTGTCTAGGGGCACATCGAGGATCACACATCAACCCAGAAAGATTTTGTGCATACAGACTCCTAGGCCCTCGATTCTGGTTTTTACAGGACTAGAATTGGGCTTGGGAATTTATATTTTTAGAAAAAACTTCCCAAGTTATTCTAATGCTCAGCTGGGTTTGAGATCAGGGGTCTTTTTTGATCTGTGCCCCCTATAGTAAACACGTTTCTGCACGCTTCTCTTATATAAATTTATGTATACTAATATATTAACATATGATGCACTTTAGAAAACATACACAAAAATAAAGGATTAGGTGAAAATAAGGGGTTCTAGTGTTTCTTCTTCTGACCCCTGGTTCATCTCCCACTCCCTGCTTTTCACTGCTGCGGATCCCGCTGGTTTGACTGACCTGCTAACCCTGGGGGCTGCCAAGGCTGGCCTGGTCCTTTGATAATTACCTCTGGGCTCCCTGGAAGGAGAGACTGGGTTTGTTTATGTGTTCATGACCTTCGTACTTCCCCAACGTGAGATTTTCCCCATAGTTTATGAAGGTTACTAATCACCCCACGGATTAGAAGGTAAGAAGCTGGGTACCCTGTTCTAAGGGTTTCATTCTGGGCGTGGCAGGGGCTGGCCAAGAGTGTTCATTCACCATCTTCTTTTGCTTTACTCCCTACCTTTTCCATTTAGGTCAGAAACAAAAAGAAGAGCCCAAGGTAACATTTTCTTCCTTGTATTGTTACAGTGGTAGAAGAGGAAGGAGTTTGGGCCATCAGTTGTGGCCATGTCTCTCTGGATTATAGAAAGAGTCCCAGTGAAGGGTTGAGCCAGTTGCCACCTTACACGCAGTCCATGGGCTAGGGACTCCCTCAACAACCTCGCTCACCCCCATGCACACACTTCTTGCTAGCCCACAGCTGGTGGGTCAGAGCTTGCTCAGTAGGAATTCCTGTCCGAGCAGAAGTTGGGCGGGAGGACCTCGGATGGCCTTGCAGGGTACCGTGACGCCAGTGACTTAGTGGCCTCCCCTCTGCTGCATGGGGCACTCCCTGTGCCAATGCATAAAGCTACAGTGATCCAGGGTGTTGCTGGGAGAAAGCCTCGGACACTCAGGGGTTCCCTTTGCTTCCTCCCCCGCAGGACGTGAAGCTCCGCGTTCCCATGCCCTGCACACTCAAGGTGCACTACAAGTACACGGTGGTCATGGAGACGCAGCCTGGGCTCCCCTACAGCCAGGTCCGGAACATGGTGTCTAAGAAACTGGAGCTCCTTCCAGAACACACGAAGCTGAGGTGAGCTCCACGCAGGCAGCAGTGAGAGGGACCGCCGGGGGCTTTGGGCCACCAGGGAGGACAGAAGAGGAGGGCGGTTTTGTGACGATCTTCTCTGACCTGGTTCTTGCTCATTGTCCCGCAGCTATCGGCCTCGGGACAGCAACGAGCTGGTGCTGCTTTCAGAAGGTAACATGAAGGATGCCTGGGGCCAGGCGAAAAACTACTGCCTGACTCTGTGGTGTGAGAACACAGTGGTGAGTGCAGAGAGCCCCGGAGCACCGAAAGTCCCGCTCCCATTGGGTCACTTCCGCAACAACTCAACATTTATCCAGCACCTTCTGTGTGCCAGGCACCATGCTTGGTGTTGGGGATACCGTGGGTAGCGAGTCGCAGCTCTGCCTCCCTTTTATCTGCATCCTCACCCTGGCTGCAGCCGGGAGAGGGTTTCCTACAAGAGAAGAGCAGGCCGGGGGGCCCAGGAGCCCACAGGAAGCCCCCAGACCTCGCCGTGGCTGTGCGCCTGATTGTGCGTCACTCTGAGCAAGGCTGGAATGAGGTCGTGGCTTGAGGCTGAGCTCATGGCCATTCGTCACTCCTTAAGTTTCCAGGGGAGAGAACACTGGAGGGTGAAAGAAAATCGTGGGCATTTATTCCACAGGGATGGTTCGGGTAAAGCCTTCCTCATAGCAAGCGTCTACTGAGAACTTCCCATGTGCCAGATACACGTGCTGAGTACATTCTGTGTACTAATTCTTATCATCCCCACAACTCTATGTGGGAGGTGTTATTATCCCGTCTTACAATTTAGGAAACAAGGCAAACAGAGGTCAAGTAACCTGACCAAGATCACACAGCTGGGCAGTAGTGGAGCCGGGACTCGGGCAGACGTCCTGGTCCCAGAGCCTGACTGTATCGTAAGGACCTCGCTGCTCTGGCTGTACAGGGCAGGCTCTTACCAGCCTGAGGCCTCGAGAAGAGTTGAGCGACTTCCCAGCGAGAATAACTGGGGTCAGGAGCCAAGTTAAGAGGCCAGAATAGTAGCTACGAGGTAACACTCTTGGACTTCGCCCTTAGTCTCCAGAGGAAAAGTTGCCGTTTCTTTTTGTTGTTGATGTGAATCCTTTCTCCCAACTCTGGTCCCCGAAAACCACCCATCTGCTTTTTGTCAACACACTTGGCCTTTTATGTAATTCATGTAAGTGCATTATACGACATATATAGTCTTTGTTTCAGTAGTCTCTTCCTTCTGATTGCTGGAAAGTGCTCCATGGTATGGACACCACAATTAGTTCATCCATTCACCTGTTGGTGGACATTTGAGTTGTTTGCTAGCGACATTTATTCTACAGCAAGTATTTGCTGAGCACCCACTGCCCTGGAGATATAAAAACTAGTAAGACACCGGCCCTTCTTAGGGGGAAGACATGAGCAAACAGATAACGAAGAAGCATCGTGCTAAGGAAACGCAGGGAGGTTCACAAAGGGCGCACTGTGTTATGGAAGCACAAGGGAGGGCACCTGATCCAAAAACGCTGGAGGGAAGTGAACAAGTAGGGGGCCTCTTCTTGAAGAAAATGATGCTGAAATCATCTTGAAGCGTGGCCTTAAAACAATAAATAGAAATTAGCAAGGGAGAGAAGTAAAGGATACATTGCACAGATGGAGAGGACAGAGGGACCACGTCAGCCTAGTGGGTAAAGGGGCTCAGTGTTACTGGACACAGCGGGGAGGGTGGCAGCAAACGAGGCTGGAAAGGCAACAGGGCCATGTCATGCAAGGCCTCGTACACTGCGGCGCTACGATGCTGTGAGCAGGAGAGAGTGGGGTCTTGCTTTGGGGTAATGATCATGGGGCGTGTGAGTAAGGCGCGAACTCAGGTAGGCTGGCCAGTGAGCTTCCTGAGTCATCCGCTCCCATCACAGTCCTGAGGCCGGGAGAGCCCCGCCTTCAATGTCATGAAACCACCGTCTCCGAAGCCCAAGGCAGTTAACTGGGGCTCCCACGACAGTTTCAGTTCTCCCTCCACTCACCTGTGCTTTTCTGCCTTAGCATTTTTAGGCTGTGGCATTTGCAGTTTTATCAGTGTAGTGGGTATAATATGAAACAGTTCATACGTGAATCCTTTAGAGTGCTACAATTTTTCACCTACTAGTGGGTTTTGAGACAGTTGAAACGACCATGTGGCTATTCTGGCCAATCTAGGCCTGGGGCCCACGGCAGGAGGCAGAGTTGCTCCTCCAAACCTCACCCTCGCAGCTGGGCAGGGGCCCCTGTTTAGTTAGGGGAAGGGTTTCTTTGATATGCTCTCACTCACATCAAAGACAAATGTTCGCTGGGAAAAAAAATGAGTGGGAGAGGAAGGATGAAAGAAGATGAGTTGGAGGAGGGCCCTGTATAGGCCCCAGTTTGAGGCATTCCGAGTTCAGAAAATTGCCTTCAGTAAGTAGAGCCACTGGGGATGAGACTGCCTGGTTAGTCTCTGACTGAGAGAAAGGCCCCAGGACCTGGGGCTAAGAGTGAGCACAAGGGGTCCCTTGGGAGTTTGAAAGGTCACTCTAGGTTTGCCAACTGTCTTTGGACCAACCCTGTCAGCATCTTCTTGAAAGGTTTGTGCCTAGAAAGGGTTATGCTCTAAATGTGAACCACTTCACTTAAAAGTTGTTTTGATTTTTTTCCTCTGACAAGAGCTTCAATCTGTTTAGCGGCTCCGCATGGCTAAGTAGTCCCAAACTCCCAGCACAGTCTTTCTGGAACTCAAGCCAAGCTCGAGGGTCATGGTTAAATACTCTTTACCACTATCTGTTACCTTTGGAGGCAGCAAGTCAGGTTATTCTCATACTAGAAGGAAAATGGACTAACATTTATTAAGCATCTACTCTGTGCAGGCACACTTATATGAACCGGTATTTATATATATTTAGAACAGTACTGTCACAGAGTACGTGTTCAATAAATGCCAACTATCATTACATGTCATCTCATTTAATTCTTCTAGCCTCAACTCAGGTGAGGAAACCGAGGTTCTGAGGTTACACTGCTTGCTGGAGGACACACAGCTGGTGAGCAGTGGAGCTGGGACACAAACCCCGCCCTGTGGACTCCGGAGGGCTCTGTCCGTCTTAGTGTGCTGCCTTCTGATAGAGGACGTGCCAAGGTTCAACAAACAGCATTTAGCAGCATTTCTAATGTTGATGTGTTAAATCCTGACTCCTATCTCTAGAAACACCTTTCTCCATTTATGGAGCAAAAATGACCACAATGTAAGAAGTCTAAGACCCTACGTCTAAGATGTGTAAGAAGCGGTGCTGATTAAGAAGCGTGGCACCACGCAGTGGTTCTCAAACTTCAGCAACTATCAGGGTTACCTGGAGGACTTAAAACACAGAGTACAGGGCCCCACCCTCGGACTTTCTGATGTACCAGGTTTGGGATGGAGCTGAAAATTTGCATTGCTAACAAGTGGTGCTGGTGCTGAAAATTTCCATTTCTAACAAGTGGTGCTGGTGCTGGGAAAAGGGTGTTACATTCAGTGCTAAGAAAGAAACCCAGATTTGACTCTGGGCTCTGTCACTTACTTGTGACTCAACCTGTTTCCCCATCAGAAAAAAAAAAGATTAATAATGCCTATTCTAACTTTCTCAGGCTTACTGTATGATTTCGGCAAGACATTTTAAGACTGTATATGGTTCTGCAGACCTTTTATTATCTGATCATCCAGTATTCATAAAGAACATATTAGGTCTTCACTAGGCACTGATCACAAACTTGCCTTTGAGTTTATATCCCAGGTTCTACTATGACATTTCACTGTTTCCTTTAGTGATGTTCAATGCCCACTGGCCAGGAAATTAGGAAAATTAACAGGCCCTTTGTTATTTCAGGGTGACCAAGGCTTTCCAGAGGAACCCAAGGAAAGTGAAAAATCTGATGCTAATAACCATCCAACAGAAGCTCAGCTTAAGGAAGGGAGCCAAGTGGTAGCGCTCTTTAGTTATGAGGCCACCCAACCAGAGGACCTGGAATTTGCGGAAGGGGATGTAATCCTGGTGCTATCAAAGGGTAAGCACGACTCCAAGATTATAGAGACTAATTTACATGTTAGCTGAAACAAGGTCAAGGGCAGAGAGAATACAGCAATAACATACAAACCAAACTTTAGCCAGTGGTTTCAATCTCCTTTCTAGTGTTTAACTCCAGGGAACAAAACTGAGTGCTCAGCCTTTCCCTGTCTGTTGCTCTAATGCGCAGGGAAGTGACAAGTAGCCAGCTGAGATAACATCTTCATTATTAAAGATGGATGTTTTGGAACCCATGGATCCTTCCCAGAGTTAACAAATTTGCTGGAATCATTTTGCCTTTGCACCAAGCCATGCGACGCTTACCTTCTGCAACCTATAGTTCTCTGAATTGATACACGACTATTAAACTCTCTGGGTCTCCTTTTCTTTTAGTGAAACATAACTAATATCTACAACTGTGTTATTACGAAGTCTGACTATATACATACTCTAGTACAATGCCTGCACTCTATTAAAAAAGCTCAGAATAGGAGCTATTAAAATCCTTATATTTTACAAACATGTACTAAACCCATTACTAGTTCTAACTCTCAACTCTTTGATGAGTCAATACTTTTAATTGACTCATCAATTAAAAGTGAATTTTCACTTTTAATATATTAAACCCATGGCATTTCCCGTTTAAACAGATTCCCAACAAAGCTCAGATAAAATTCTCCTTCTTAAAAAAATCGTATCTAAGGATTTATTGTTCAATTTATTTCACCTTATTTATTTGGTAACTTTCTGAAAAACACACAATTCATTCTGCATTTTACTCTTTCATTATCATGCCTAAGTCAGAAATCAGTAGTAAGATGGTTAAACCCTATGTCCACTCTCTAACCTCAAATCAGCTTCCAATACTCTCTTTTTCCTGTTACCACAATTGGGGGTGGCGGCGGGGATGATGACGGAAGATCTATACTGGTTGTGGAAACCCGCGTGTACCTTTCCTTTTCTCAGTGAATGAAGAATGGCTGGAAGGGGAGTGCAAAGGGAAGTTTGGCATTTTCCCCAGAGCTTTTGTTGAAGAACGTGCAACCACAGATTTGAAAAGCACTCCTAGAGAAGTCTAGGATGGTTTACAACCTACGAAGTCAAACAAAAGGAATCCTTTCTTTCTTTCCAAGATTTAGCACACCTCTGCTATAGTCTGGAAGTGTTAACCTCAATCTTCCCTGTTAAAATTTAACCTGTCAGACAATGATGTGAGTACCCAGGACGACGACTGCCTGGGGCACAGTAGGGGGAGGAGTGGTGGATGGCAGCATCTGAGGGGGGTCTTCTAGGGTGTTGATAATCTGTTTCTTGTTCTGAGTGCTGGCTACCCAGATGCATTCACGTTGTAAAAATTCACTGAGCCGTACACTTATGAATGATGCACTTCTCTGTGTGATACCTCAATAAAAAACTTAATCTTACAAAAACAAAACAAGACACCAAGAGTCCAGGCCCAAGGGCTAAGCATAAACATTCCAGTTCCTGTACCATACTATCGCAGACTCTTATAAGGCTTAAAGTAACCTTACAGTAATTCAGAAGGCATACACATATAAATATCGTTTTCTTTTTTTCATTAAGTGTCATTGCTTTAACAGAAACTAGAGTGACAGGTTCTCATGGAATATAACATTCAATTCCATAGGGAATTAAAATACTAGAATTACATCCCTTTATGCCTTCTCAGAGAGGAATATTTGTTAAGAGTTCAATATTGCATATATGGCTGGGCGTGGTGGCTCACACCTGTAATCCTAGCACTCTGGGAGGCCAAGGCGGAAGGATCGTTTGGGCTGAGTTCAAGACCAGCCTGAGCAAGAGCGAGATTCTGTCTCTACTAAAAATAGAAAGAAATTAGCCGGACAACTAAAAACATATAGAAAAACTTAGCCGGGCATGGTGGCACATGCCTGTAGTCCCAGCTACTCAGGAGGCTGAGGCAGGAGGATCGCTTGAGCCCAGGAGTTTGAGGTTGCTGTGAGCTAGGCTGACGCTATGGCACTCTAGCCCGGGTAACAGAGCGAGACTGTCTCAAAAAAAAAAAAAAATACTGCATATATGCCATTAACACTTAAGTGATGAAAAGCTGTGTTCAGGAAGTCAGCTGATTAATAACTTATCCTACTATTATAGTACAGTCACTGAATGACAGGGACAGAAATGTGCAGTTGTGTGAACATCACGGAACATACCTACACAAACCTAGATGGTACAGCCTATTGCTCCCAGGCTACAAATGTGTGCGGCACATTACTGTACTGAATACTGTAGGCGACTGTAACAAAATACCAAGTACTTGTGTATCTAAACATGTCTAAACATAGAATGCTGTGGTTTCACTTGGTTATCATTTAACCCAATGATCCAGGTTTTTAGGGTTAACTTGAGTGAATGATTCCATAGATACTAGACCTTAGTACCTGGCTTTAATTCCCCTCCTTCCCTTCTTCTTGAGAGTATGTATAGCTTTACTAACAATTTTTCAAGTGCATAGGTGCTTGTGAAAAGCAGAGTTAGGAAGTGAACTGTAGACTGAATCAACACTTAGGTGAAAGGACAGGTGATCATGAGCACACAGACCTCGCGGTGAGCTACCGCACTGGCTTCCGCCAGCACACAGCTGAAGGTCCAGCAAGCTACCATCGAGGACCCTGGACTCAACTTGAAGAAACGCAACCCAAAGCTGAGAACAAGAATTACTGTTACTGCTAATCCGATTTATTGAATTTTATAGGCCAAAAGGATAAACGGTCTCTGAACTGCCTCATTAACAGCTACAATAAGGATGAAAGTAGTGGGATGTTAACTCCTTAACATAAGCCATGCTTTATTAAAAAATTTTGATAGTTTCTTTCTACTCATCCCTTTCCATAATAATTCATTAGCCTGGAATGCTAATAAAAGCAAAAATAACCATGAAACATATTCAAGTTTTGATCATCTTTGCTTTTCCCTGGACAACTTGTGAGTAGCTGAAATTCTTGCCTTTAAGTTGGATTTTCTTGAATACTATATCTTTTAGGATGGAAAATGAATAATCTGTACACAGATCTGGTTGGAGAGAACATGGTTTAATTAAAGGCAAAGCTGATTTCAGCAGCTGCAGGTCTTGCACAGACAGACAAAACAAAACATAACAAAAAAAAAACCCATAAAAGAAAGTTTACTACACAAAACCAGTTTCTGGTGATGATTCTCCTCCCCGTCCTCATTACTCCATAGCGAGGATGATAAGGCGAGGAACCCCGCCCCAAGAGTCAGAAAACATTCCAAATACCAAATTCTCATGCAGAATGGGGCTTTAGATGGGAACTGGGTACTACTGGGAGTGAGATGGTAAACCTGGTTAGCTTGTCTAAGGTGCAAGAATCAGTGACAGTTCAAACACTGGAATGTTGCAGCTGCCTGAATGCAGAGCTCAAACGCACAAACTGGGTAAAGGTAGCAGGGAAAGAGGCTTGGGAGGGATGGGAGAGGAGGGAGGTGGACACGCGGAAGGGGCTGGAGAGAAGCACAAAGGGTTCCATATTGCCATTGGGTCGGGGGCTTCACCCTTTCAGACCTCGAAAAAACAGAACAAAAACAAAAAACCCAAACACCATGTCAAACTAAAAGAGCAATAATGCAAGCGTAAGGGGGCTCCAACCACTCTCTCTGAAGAGCAATGAGCATTATCTCCCCCCTTTCAATTGCTGGGGTTGCCCAACTCCAGTGACGACCGGGGCTCCTGGATGTGCTTTGCTCTGCAGCTGTTTCCCAGCTCTAAAATTCCACGCTAACGCCACACACTCAGACACACAATCGCTCCCCTCTGGGAGAGCAGATGGGCATGTGTGCACACAAACACACTCACAGACACACAAAGGAGAGATCTCCCAGAAAATAAACCCTACCACTAGCACAGCAATTGGACATTGAGATTGTTTCCATAATTTCCCCTTAAAATATTACTTTTCCAGGAAATGGCTAACAGAAACACTGTCCTTCTGTTTCTAGACAAGACCATTTTCAGTCCTCTTTCCTCCTAATAAATAGCAAATAAAAGTTTATTTTCCTTTCTTTTGCCTTTTCCAAAATGGACTTCGCTGTGTTTTCTTCTGTGCATGCTGTGCACGTGTCCGTGTCGCCTTGAATTTCACTCTGAAAGTGGAGGCTGGGAGACCGCAGCTGGGCAGGGGCCTGGCCCCTCTGTAGGCTATGCAGACGCCGCTGCTTCCTTCCTCTTCAGACTGTCTTTTGGGCCCCAACTGCTGGACCCCATGCTGCTGCTTCTTGGCGAGATGTTGCATACATTAGAAATAAAAACAATTACAAGCATACAGCATAGGGTAATAAAGGGATGGAGACGGGGCAGGAGGGTGGTAAGTAGATGGGGGCACAAAAACCAACCAAACAAAAAAACCACACTGAAAGCTTCTACCTATTAAAATGTGTCAGGCCATGAATGGACCAGCCCGCCTTCTGTGAGACTGCTTGTTACGCTGCTGTAAAATGTACAGGAATCAAAAACGTCATTTGAAATCCTACAGCAGTCGCCTGCTAGTCCAGCCCAGCACCACCACCCACACTGCGTCCTCAACTGGGGCTCGAGCACCTACAGAGTGAAGGGCATTTCCTGCTGGAGTCTCTAGGCCAGAGGAGGGCCTGCCAGAACCTTCTGAGAGGCCCTGCACTCTCCCTCATGGAACACTTCCACTCCCGTCCTGTCACCATCAGCCTCTCACGGGAGCAGTGAGCAGGGCTTTCCTTGCTACACACTGACTAGAAGCACATCTGTGTATGGAAGAATTCAGTGTGATGTTTTACTACTGAGAGTAATAACAATAATAAAAGATGTTTAGGAATAATTTCAACTACATTCTCAGTCAGCAAAGCAATCATTAATGGATTCCTATTTTATTCCCCAAAGAGGAAAAAAGGACTGAGAAGTTCCCATTGGCTTCTCCCATCTGCCTTCCCTTCTCAGCTTTCACTTCCCATGTGGCTGGGGACATGCACGATGGAGAAGGTGAGAGGTGGTGATATCAAGTAACTGAGTGAGATAAACAGCAGTTCCTCTCTCTCTCCCTCCGGAAGGCCCCAGGGGGACGGAGAGTTCCTGATGGATTTTTCTTTTTGTTGCACTGCGAACATTTCGTGCACACTCAGCGGGCTGGTGGAACACTTACACCCTCTTGACAGCAAGAAACAGAAAAGAGGGTTGCCACCTGCAGGGGACTGTGTGGGCCAGTCCTGCAAACCCAGCATGCCATGGTTTATGGAGCCTTCATTCCCAGGGTTGCCATTTTGGCCTCAGTGTGGAGGGTTCATGGTGCCTTGTCCCCGCTGCTGTTTCTGCTTCTGCTGCATTAATAGCTGCTCCAGAGCGGAAGGTCCAGGATGCATCATGGAACTGGACCAGATAGACTGAAAAATAGCCCAGATCTGGTCAGCAGAGGTCAAATGCCTGGTTGTCTGAAAGGGATTTGTTTTTCAATCCCAGCCAAACATAAAGGCATATACGTCCTAAGAACCCCACCCAAACCCCTAAAAAATCTAGCTATTAGAAAAAGTCTTAAGACTCTCAAGACTAGTTAGCTCCCATTAAGATTATTTTAAACCAGAAAAGGTAAAATCACATTTTATATGAAGTCTTTTTACTAAAACTCAGCGCTATGTGATACCACAGGGTATTTACTATAAAGGTTTTAGGCAAACAGAACATTCCTAAAATTAGATACTCTTTCACTTGGTCAGAAAGGGCTTCAATCAAACATTCCAAAATGAATCAGAATCTTCTTAACCTTAGAATGAAACTAAAACCTTCATGTTTCCGTCCCTCTGAAAATACTTGCTTTATCACTAGTGAATCCACATATTAAAAATAAAGTTCCCGTTTAAGAAACTTGTAAGGCAGACTGTGTTTGTTAGACTTTGCTACGTATGTGCTATGCATCAGTCAATTCTAAAGGCCTTAGAAATAAGCCTGGCTATTTACGTGAATGAAAGCAGAGACACTTTTGCTGTAAGAATCGTGTGGCTCTTGTTCCTGAAATACACTCACCTTTAGGCTTTCCATGAGGACGGCAGAGGAATCCTCCATGGAGGGGCCATGGCCTGTCCAGGTGCCACCTGGAGTGCTGGCCTGATGCCAACTGCTCTCTGAGGATGATGTTGCTGAGAGATAATCAATGCCAAACCCACCCATGGCTAAGGGATGAAAAGAGATTAAGAAGAATTCAAGACAATATTCTATCACTGCCAAGTGCCAAACCCTGGGGAAGGATGGAGTAAGTTCTTTCACTTTTGTTAGGAAATGAAAGTAAGATCTCACCCGGCTTATCAGTTTTCCACCGATCTGCAGTCCTCCTATCCCTGTTGTCTGGAGTCCCAATGGGTCCAAAATTGGAGAATGGAACAGAATTATGGTTGTGTGTTGGAGGAGAGCTGGGCAAGCTGCTTGGGTTAGAGGAATGAGGAGACTGGCTGGCTGGTGTTGAATGATCTATTAAATAACAGCAACACAGGACATTAAATAGATGTTTCACAAACATACAAAGAACTAGTTTCCTGTAGATCCAAACACCTAAATTCTCCTAAAAATAACCAGAGGACTTTGAAGAAAAGGCAAAACAAGGGCCCAAAGGGAATCTGACCAGATGCACTAACTTGCCTTACTGCATGTATTTAAGGTATATTCTTTGCCTTAAAAAAGCAAAACAAAAATAGTAGAAAATTTTATCAACTGAACACACTATTCTGGGCATGCTTGTTTCAGGTAAGTATTTACTGGT